GTTTATTGTTTATTGAAGCTGCGCGTTTTGCGCGCTTTTCATACATATTTTGTGCCCTTGTGCTAAACATATGCTTGCTGACTCCTATACACTCATCTTTACTGTGCTCTCTCTCTCTCTCTCTTCTCATATATTTATGATTTAACTATTAACTTGCTGCAAGTATGCAGCTTTTATTTAATTTCTTTTTCACTTATTTGCTGCTTGACTACACAATTACGGCTTGCTTGGCAATATGTGCTTGTGAACGCTTTTCTCATGCTGCTTTGTATGCGCGCATGCGCTCTTAACTCTACTTGCATAGTTGTATAGCGTATCATTAGTTGCTGCATTTCTCTATTGGAAATTGCGTTTTTCGTGTCAAGAAAATAGAAGCATAAGTTTGCATCAACAACGTTAAATTGGCGCTTAGTGCACTTTGCATAATTTTCGCTTACATTTGCAATACAACATACGTGTGGATTGTTGTTGTTGTTGTTAAGGTATCTTTTTCTAATGTTTAATAAGAATTATTATGCTTAAAATAGTTACTATATTAAAGGTAAATTTCATTAAATATATCAAAAATTTATACTTCTTCTGAGATACACATTCGCGTAGACACTTGCACAGAATATACTCTCGCTCGTTAATAAAACAAAATTATGTTTAATCCTTTTTACAGACCGCATTTGCTGCTTTCAAAATATTTGGCGTGTTGTTGTATGTGTGTGTGTTTTAATGATTGAACTAAACCTTAGCACGTACTATTGCTACTCGTATAGAGCATTTAAAAAAAATAAACGCTACAACAATTTCGTACATTACATGCGCTCAAAGCTTTTCTTTATTGAAAAGCAGTATTTAAATACGCGCTACACTTGCCTTTGAAGCAAACGGCTGTGTGGCATGGCGCGCTTTTGTAGTCCTTGACTGCAAACATGAAAATAGAAAATATGTGCGTTTAATTTACTACGAAAAATTTGCGAATATGTAAAATGCTGAAGGCACGCCTACATTAAAAATTTTAATATTAGGTCAAGTAAAAGTGTTCGTTTTATTGATTTTTAAAGATGATAACTTTTGTACATTTGTCCGATTTAAGTCAAATATGCGCCTTTTGTTCGTAAACTTGTTGCCTTCATTATACCCTCTCTAGCATTTAAAAGGTGCTCACGTCAAGCTGTTTCAATATTTCCATGATTTTATCATTAATTCGACGACAGGTTTCCCGACGCGTGGTGCATCTTTGACATCGAATTACCAGCGGAACCTACCAAACCACTTTGTGCTACACGTTCCTTTAGAGTATCGCGTTCATAAACTAATAAATTTTCAGCCGCTTTAGCTGCTTTTCATAGATCGAAGAAAATTGTAAAATAATGAATTTTCTCTTTGCTGGTGTCCATCTTTGACGAGCTCACAACGTACTGAGTCAATCAATCGAAAAACTGTCAAAAACTTAATAACCCGTTTTCAGCGCCTTATAGTATGACATGATGCGATACATAACCTACATAAATTTACATTTAAAAATTTTAAATATTTACTTCAGAAAATTTTCAGAACATATAAAATAGGCTGAAATGCACGCCTACATTAAAAATTACATAATTTACATTTAAAAATTTAATATTAACTTCGAAATTTTCGAACATATAAAATAGGCTGAAATGCACGCCTACATTAAAAAACATAATTTACATTTAAAAATTTAATTTACTACGAAAATTTCGAACATGTAAAATAATTAAAATGCCGCTACATGAAAAACAACATAATTTACATTTAAAATATTTACTACGAAAATTTCTCGCACATGTAAAATAAGCTGAAAGCACATACATTAAAAATTGTTTAATAACATAATTTACATTTAAAAATTTTCAAGTAACCTACAAAGCTGCTTAACATAATTTGCTTTTTTATAAACAATTTTATTAACTGTCTGGCAATGAATGTTGCAGGACCTTCAACGGTTTGCAAGCGGTTTGTTCAAATAATTTATGGGGAGGAGCGACAGCAAAGCGAATATTTTCGAAAATACTTTTGCCACAGCGCATTTTGAACACACTATAGTTAAAAATGCTTTCTAATTCAAATTTTAACAGTCGCGCAGTGATTTTACCACATTATTGTCGAAACATAATAATTGCATTGAGCGCATGTTGTACGCACCGCAGCATCTTGCTCAGCCAGTGCTAGTATTTCGCTGTAGCGCATTTTATTATTGATTGTGTATGTGTATGGGTTAGTTACTATAGCTGCATATCTATACTCTTGTTTTCTTTACTTGTCATGCATAATTCTATGCGACATTGTAGCATTTTAGTTATTATAATGCGGCAATTTAAATATTGCCAAATTAGCGCTTACAATTTAGTTTAGTTGTTTGCAACACATTTTCCGTTTATTTCGTTTGCATTTTTTTCTGCATTTTGACTAGAATTCTTGTTTTTTCATGCGTTTGTGTATAATTGTATTTTTGTTTTGTTTTTCTTGTTTCTTTACCATTTGTTTCGCTCCTACTACTACTATGCATATGCTTAAATGTAATTTTAAATTTATAAATTTTAATTAATTAAATTATTTGTTCTTATGCGTTTTTCGACTTAGCGTTGCTTTTCTCATACAACTGCTTGTTCTGCTTTACTTTGTTCATACTACGTTTACACTTATGAAAAATATAATTTATATATATTTATGTATAATATATATAACCGACTGTGAGGCTACAGCCGCCACAAGTTGTTTAGCATCAAAATGTACTAGTATATATAACTATTTAATAAATATTGTTTACTTTTTCTGGGTTTCTTTTGTTTGTAACTTCACTTGCTACTGCCTGCATTTGCGTGCTTAACTAACAAAATTACAATTTGTTAAAATAAAATAAAGAAAATCAATGCGCGTATTCAGCGTGCGCGCTTAACCGTTAGAAAAGTTGTCGCGCAAACACAAACACTGTGTACACATCAAGTTATTTTTAGCTAATTTGCTAAATTGAAATTTAAAATTGTGAACTTAAACTAAAACCATAACAGCTACTAAATATAGTTTTATAAATATATGTAGACATACACATTACAATATTGTATGATATAAGTTTAAATTTGTGTAGTTAATGGTGTTTTGTGTAATAAAATATTAATGCGAAAATAAATTATATTGTATACATATGTACATATATAAACGTCTGTATAAACACTATTTTCACATTATTGCGTAAGCGCTTATTTTGTTTTGAGTTGAATTTGAATTTAACAAATTATTGGTAATAAATATACATACATATTATACATATGTTTGTAGAGTTATAAATTAATATTAGTTGTGTAAATATGCAATAAATATGTATATAAATATATTTGTAATTACTTATGTACGTTCTATATATATATATATATATATGTATGTATGCGTCTGTATGTATGGTATATGGACTGTATATATAAATATAATATAAATTATTGTACAAATAGTTGGGAGCACGCGCGTGTACATTTACATGAACACACAATTTCTTTTAACAAATTATAATTTACAGCGTGTTTACAAGAAGAAAAACAACAACAAACAAAGAGTAGTAGCCGTGTCGAGCAATTGAACTTATCAGAAAAATATATTTTAAATAACTTTAAACAATTTCATATGTTGTTTAAACGCTGCAAAGTAACTAAATTATTATTGCGAAAATTGTATTTTGAAATTTCGCACTCGTATGGTTGTAGCAAGCAGCAGTTTAAGCGCTTTACATAAACTCAAAGTAAACTAATGAAAACAAAGAAATCAACACAAGCTGCCAATGTACTGCTACAAACGAAAAAAATCAAAGGGGTATGCATGGCAGCAAACAACCAAAATCGTAACTGTAACAAATTTCTAATAATCTATTTCAACAATGCCAAATTGCTGCTCAAATGAATAACTGCAAACATTGTTTTGTACATAAAAATCACGTTTAAAATAAACAATTGATTTTCTTTTTAACATTATGGCATGTTGTTGCCTGTGTGTATGTGTCAATAATATAGTTAGTTGTTGTGTATATGTACGCAGCGTAAAGCTTAAAACACTTCACACTAAATTGTGTATAGTTTATTTGTATTTCAGTGTTTTGTGCTTTATTGTAATTTTGTCTCAAACAAATTATTGAACATTTATGTTATGCGCTTTGTGCGTAGTTGGTGAGAAAACGTTGTGTTGCATGCTTTCAACAACGATAACGTGATAAAGATGCAACTTGCTGCTGGTAAAACAACTTGTAACAGTTGCATAATTTTCGAATACACGCATTAAAACGGTATTCAGCGCATTAAGCGGTATTCAGCGCACTAAAACGGTATTCAGCGCATTGAAACAGTATTCAGCGCACTAAAACGCACAAGTTTACAGCGTTCAACTCATTAGCGCTCATATTGCTAATTCAGCGCGCATTTGCTAGCATTCAGCGCTAAATTTCTTCTTACTTTATAAGCTCGATTTAATAATCAACGTTAGTGCTTATATTGTAATTCAGCGCATATTTGTTGTTTTATTGTTGTGAGCGACGCTTTTGCTAGCATTCAACGCTTAAAATTACTTTCCTGTTTTCAAAAGCTTGTTTGAAAATTTTTAGTTGTTGAAAATATTTGGCGCTTTTTTTCATATTTTGAAAGTGTTGTAGTTATGCTATGTGCAATTTTACTGTTATAGGGTTCTTACTAATTCAGCTATTAGCACTTATTAAAGCGCAAAACGCTGCAAAAAGTGTTTAAAAGACAACACTACTTTCTGTACTTTTCGCCCAAACACACAACAAGCTGTGCGTTTACTGTCAATATGCAAAATAGATCTGAACATTTCAATCAATTTATGTTTAATTAAATTCAAGTTAAACTTTTATGTTTAATATGTTAATGGTGTTTTTATAGTAGTTTAAAATTTATATTGCAGCACTCGCGTGTGAATAGTTAATTTGGATTGAAATATTATATAATTAATTATAAATTAAGCGCTTGGCGGCCAATGTTTTGTTTTTATTTTTAAATAATTATTGTTACTCATTCGATACTGACTCGTTATGTTTGTTTAGCTCATTTAAAATTCGAAAGAACTACTTTTTACTATAAATTTGCAATTGCGCACGCAGGCTTTGCCGCTTTATTTGCTAGTTACACATATTGTTATGAGCTTACGCCCAACTTTTGCTTATTTTCTTATTTTCTTAGTTTTATATTTTTAATTATTTAAATTTAAACTTTTGCTATTTAATACTGTAGCAGCCTCCTTGACGTTGCTTTTACAATAATCACTAAGATTATTACTCATATATTAATTTATTTACTATTTTTTTGTTTTGTTTTGCTAGTACATTAAATAATTTAAAAATTTTAAGTTTGTTTTTATTTAATTTAAATACGTATTTTCGCAACTGCCTGTCTGTTTTTTCACGCTTGCATGTCACGAAACTCATTAATTTCAAAAATTGTTTTAATATATTTGTTCTTGCTTTGCTAAGCTTATATTTGAAAATTATTATTATTATGCGCTTTTATAGCAAAATAGAGTTGCTTTTAAACATACAATTAATTTTTTAATTGTTATTTTTTTCTTTTGTTAGTATAGTTGTGTTATACCTTAAAACCTGCGTACGCATTCACTCGTATAACTTCAAGCCTTACTTTCGAGCGCTTGCTGCACGTTTGATTGCATTTAGTTTTATCATTTGCTTATAACGCATACTTTTAGTTAGAAAACGTATAAAAATTGTCAACTTTTTCAACTTTTAAAATTGCAAATGAAATTTAAAATACTTTTATTGCTGCCGGCAGGCCAAGTTTGTTTTGGAAGATGCTTGTTTTTGCCTATATTTCTTAATTATTAGTATATTTTTAAAAGAACTGTTCACTAATTCCTTTTGTTTACTACACAATTGGCGCTCATTGAGCTATAAGGTTTTATGAAATACTTTTGCAGTAGTAGTTTTCATACAACAGTAGTTACGGAAATTTTCGAAACAGTTTTTAAACTGGAAAATCATGTGTTGATCTCTTTGTTCGATTTCAATTTGTAAACGGTTTCAATTTTTTTTTTTCACACATACGTTTTGGCTTTTGCTGGTAGTGTTATTAACAGAGTTGATTTAGTGTTAAGAAATTCTAGCATATGTTTTATGCTATTTTTTGCGGCTTAATTTTGTAAACTTTTCGTTTTCATTAATTTCATTGCATTTTTTTTAGTTTATAACAGACTGGCGCAGTGAAAATAGGAAAACATTTTTTGTTTTTACAATTCGTTTATATTTCTTGCTGAGATTCATTCAATAAATATTATATATATTTACTTTTATGCGCCAGCACATTTGTATTTGTGTGCACGCACACATGCAAGCATACAGACACGCGTTGCAGCTGTTGGTTAGTTTAAAAATAGCGCAAACTGTTTCGAGTAATAATTTTCACATTTTGCTTGCCAATTTTTGCTAAATTTTAAACCAACACACGCGGTACAGTGCTTGAAATTGCCAAAATTTGCAAAGTTTTCAAACGCAAACATATGCATACAAATGTACAGCGACAAATATTTTTCCTTGATTGCTTTGGCATTGTGAAATTCAGGTGACTAACAAACAGACACACATGCTACTGACTGATTTGGAGTGCCTGCCGTAACCACCCCAATTATTTGTAGCGTGTGACGTGTGGGCAGCTAGCCGCCTACTTGCGCGCACAAACGGGTGGTTGCTGGCGGCATATGACGCGCCATTTTAAGCATATATGTGCGTCCATTTGCTTTTCGCAAAGCCATTGTGGGTGGTAGCTGATAAGGAAAAATCTATTCAAATGATTTCAATTGCACCTTTTTTGTTTTCATATTTTCACTACGCTACAGATACATATACTGCATGCTTTCATTCCGCTTATAAGCGGTTTGTAACTGCAAAATTTTGCTACAACACAAATTTCTTGTTGTCAATGCTTCTCTGCACCTAACTACTACTCCGCGCTTGTGTTTTTGTTTTAGAATTTACAGTGTAACAAATTAGATTAATTAACCGCACTTTCTAAAGTTCATTAATTAATTTAATTACCAGCTTTGTATTGCTGCAAGTTGCGACCTTCTTTAGCAAATGCTTAATATATAAAATATAATTAAAAAATGGAAAATACGAGGTTGGCGTGCGTTGCGAATGTTGGGGGGAGGACGAGCAAACTCACCCTCCCCACAACACGCCTTGCACATCACACACTTTTACCAATTTTAAACAAAGCCAACCCGCGCATTTCCACCAACTTGCCTGCGGCCGGTTTGCAGCTCGGCTCCGCGTTTACCGTTTTATAGTTTTTGTCCGTTCGCTTTATGTTGCTGCTGTTACTACTGTATTTCCGCTACTTTGTTGTTAACGCTGTTATTGTTGTTTTCATTGTGTATGCGTGTATTATTGTTACAGTTGTTGTTTTTGTTGTTATCTACTACTATTATTGTTGCAGTTAGCTGTTACTACTGTAGATTATTCGCTGGAAAGATAATTTACTTTGATTTGTTGGTCTTGAAGCTAACTTGCAGCACCCGATTGCCCAGTGTATAACCGTTTAGTGCACGAATTGCCATTGCCGCTTCATCATAATTGGTCATCGACACGAAGCCGTAGCCTTTGCATTGATTTGTGGTTTGATCCTTAACAATTTTAACCGATTGCACTGCGCCGAATGGCCCGAATAGCTGCCACAGTGATGCCTCCTCAGTTTCGGGTGCCAAATTGTAAATAAAAATTGGATAAGCACCGCCCGGACCACTAGCTAATGCACTAGCGGCGGCCGCTGTCGCACCCAAACCATTTGGCAGCATAACATCGAGCATGTCGCCGGCCATGGGTGAGAAACGTGCCAAGCCCTTGTTGACCGGCGTATGCATAGCGCCGCCGATGCGCCGCACCAATTGTGGATTGAGGAATGCTGGCAATTGTGGTTGCATTATCTTGCTAGTACTACCCGGTGTATTTGAGAATTTCACCACAATCGGATCGGTACAATCCGGCGGCGTGGTGCCGTTCAGTGCAATAATGGCGCGTGTTGCTTCCTCACGCTTATCGAAACGTATGAAACCGACACCTTTGGTCTGTGAATCGTTACCGGCATTTTGCAGTATACGTGATGTGATTATAGCTCCGAATGGTGCGAAAATTGCCTCCAACTCTTGCTGAGTCATATTCTTTGGCAGTCCCGACACATATAAATTCGCACCCTTAATGGCGTCCGATGAGGGGCGTGCAAATGATACCTTGATAGTTTTATTCTGTAAACGCAACCCATTCAATACGTTAACGGCCTGCTCGGCATCTTGTGCGCGCACATAGTTGACAAAGCCATAACCCAAACTTTGACCCTTATTTGGTCCTTGCGGGTTCAGTGGATCCATAAAAGCTTGCGATTTGTCGCGTATCAATTTTACAGACTCAATTTCGCCCACACTGGAGAATAGTGAACGTATCTCATCTTCGGTCATTGTTTGTGGCAAATAGTTTACAATGAGATTAGTACGTGTCTCGGATGTGCCGTTGTTGCCATTCTGTTGTGTATTCGTATTTCCGTTGGTAGTTTGCTGTTGCAACTGCTGGGTGACGGCTGCAGCGGCGGCGGCGACGGCTTGTTGTGTTTGCTGTTGCTGCACCTGTAAAATGGCCTGCTGCACCTGCTGCTGCTGTTGCAGTTGTGCTGCTGCAGCAGCGGCAGCAGTCTGCGCAGGTGATGCATTCGATGCGGCTAGAGCGGCTGCGGCAGCGGCCGGATTGGCAGCGGTTTGAGCCATTAGCTGGGCCTGAGCGTCTACTGTGCCTGCAGCACCGGCATTCGCCATCATAAAATCCACTAAGTAACAGGCGATGGCGCAGAGGGATGAGTGAAACGGTTAGAAGCGGACGTGGATATAGCAAATGATTATTGTTGAGAACACATGGAAGGAAAAATAAAATAAAGTATACAAATTTAGAGTAAGAAATAAGACTTTATGCATGCTATGAATTATGAATATTGGCATATAAACTTACATACTTATGTATGTATGTTTGTATTAGAAGTTGTAACAAATTGAACGATGATTCAAGTATTACCTCGCAACTTAATCACAGAGAACTTGCCATTATTTTATTTAGGATATGCAATCAATCTCATTGTCATATATTTCTGTAATTTCAATGAGTGTCATGTGTTACTTTATCCAATTGGTTTCGATTCCAACAGATGATGAATAAATATATGTACATACATATGTAGAATTTTAAACTGTTTCTAATGGGTTAAATTTATTTAATATCCACGTTTGCACGGGCAAATCGTAAATTAGTTATTTCTAAAAACTTTACTATGTATGGAGCTTGGTTTAATTACAGATATATGTAAATGTAAGTACAATAATGGAAAATAATAAAAACAAACGTGATTTACGCTCAATATCCATAGGTGCATATGCATAATAGACAATAAATCATGCTATATGCATACTATGTACATATATAAGAATTAACACATTCACACACGTTTGTTTTTGTCATTTGATTTTTCTACAAAAAAAAGCAATAAATTCGAATGCTTGAATACGTTTAATATTGAAATATGTGATCAAGTATTAAATTGTAACTAAAATTTTACTAAAAAGGGGTTTTGAATACTTTTTCACAAAAAAATCAATAAGTTAGCATTAAGCAAAAAATTAAACATTTGTTGAGGATGTAGCCGCGCCTAGACATACTACATGCATATACGAATTTTTAAGGCATACGGGCTAGTTTTAGTTGTTTTAAAGCGTTAACGATAAACAGAAAGTAATTTTATTGTTTTCCACTATACTGGGTGGGGACGCCGCCATAGCAAAAAAAAAACGATCCAGGCGATAGTGTTAGAACACGCGTAAATACATACAAACAATCTTATTTTAATTTTATTTTGCACTGATGCGCCGACGCATGAAAGAATGAAATAAAACTACAAGCACAAAGAGAATAGACAATATATGCATATTTTCCCTCATATATATGTACATATACATGTATTGCGGAAACGTTGGCGTTGACAGTGGCGCTCCTCTATAAGTGCCGTTTCAGACAGGGATGCAAAAGAGTCTGATCTTTTTCAAATTTTCTTTTGGTGTCGCTCTGGGCATTCACACGGTCAAAAAGAGTCCAGCAACTCGAGTCTAGTTTTTCTGCATTCCTTTTCACAAAATGTTCGTAAATATTTGTGCGGTTCGACTGCGCAACACCGCGCAACACTGCATGCTGCGTATTTCATTTGTATGTTGAGATGATGGTCACACATTTTGCTTGCAATGAATTACCATGAATATGGTAGAACAATATGCATAATACAAGTACCTACCCGCTAAATAGTTTCAAAAAAATACTAAAGACGGGAATTCCCTAATCCACAAGAATGTATTGAATATCCGCAACTAATATTTTCAAGGCCAAATTTATAATAGCAATTTCCTAATCTTTAAGTATTAAAAACTCATAATTTCTTTACTGCGTATTAAAAATTCATAATTTCTTTACTCCATAATCTATATCTTAATTTTCTCCTTATTTACAATTTGTCATAATATTTCTATTATTCTATGCATACGTATTTGCATATTACATACAAAAATAGATAACAGAACTCAAATTTGCGATCGAATTCATTTGAAACCGAGCGCTCTTGCAACCATTCAAAGAATTTGAAAGTGAAAAGGATTGCTGAAAAGGGTAGCAGCGAGCTGTTACGAACAAGAACACAAAGCGTGCCACCCGAACACGAGTGGCACGATCCCTTCGTCTTTCCTCGGCATCCCCTCACCCACAATAAACTGGTTTGAGACTCTTTTGCGTCCCTGTCTGAAACGGCACTAAGCCAGCGATTTCATTGTACATTATGTACAAACGAGCTTACAAATAATATAGTCATGCGCGCTTTACTTTTTTTAATACTCACTTGCGTTGGCGTGTGTTTTCCTCGTTGCGGCAATAATTTTGATGCTTTTTCACAACTTCGCTTTTGCGTAAATTTGTTCTTTTACTTTTATGCTGCGCTGTCGGCTGCGTCTCTTATGTCAACGTTGTCTGGTAAAAAGTCGTTGGCAACGCTGAAGATGGCGTTTTAATTGAAGCGTGTATGAAATTCGTGAGAGAGCTGCTAAGCTAATCGATTTATCGATTTTATTTATATGAATGTGTGTTAGTTTTTGCTTGCCGCTAACTTTTTCTGTACTTTTTTATATAAATTTTCCGCTACTACTGTTTGCTGCTCGATATATACACTTTTCCTGGATGTATTTTTCGTTTGATTTTGCACGATGATTAAAGAATTCTGCTCGTTTTTGTTGGTTCTGCAAATTAAATAAATTTGGTATAAAGACATTGAGCGGAAAATCCCTTAAAATTTATATTAAAACTACATGTAAGATACAAAACTGATATCAGAGAATAATTAAATTGCATGCAGTTCAACAAATTGTGTAATGCCGTCTGTCTTTCCAGCTCTTTTGATATTAATAAAATAAGCGCTTATACGCACACACACACAAATATATATAAACACTTGCATGCGATCTCATGTCGCTATTGTAGTCACTTCTCTGTTTCTATGAGATACTTTTCTTTTTGTAATTCAACACTGCAATGTAGATATGTGGACGTAAATACAATTTACTTTTCACGTTTATCTCTTCGTAAGTTCGTATTAATTAAAACAAAAATTAAAAGTGTTTAATCTGTCGACTATTGCATTCGTACATCTATCCATTAATTCACTTCCGCTGCTGTATAAGCTACATCGTTCGTATCCGAGGGACGACCGCGTTGCGTTCCTCTTTTAATATTTTTACTCCACCTGAGCACAAAAAATTCTCCTCTGCCCTGCGCAATTTTGACTTTTGACGCGACCAATCGATATATTCACAGATGCCAGCTTTGCTTGTTCGTATATTCGTGTCACTCGTCTATTGTCCGGTTGATTTGTGTTGCTGTTATTGCTGCACCCTTTTCCTTTGCATGCTACGATCTTGGTTTTCCTTCGACTTTTCCAATTTAACGACTCAACAATGGAGTTTAATGAACTTTGCTCACACGCGTTCAATTAATTACAAACATTAATATAGACAATTTCTGTGCAATTCAACACATAAATTTATACGTGTATTTTCTTTTTCTACCGATATTACGCCATACACATATACACACACTAATTCGTTCATTTATCGAATTTTCAGTCCCCTTTACTGCTTTTCCAAAAAATTTTCTCTACCCAACAAAAAAAAATATACATATATTATATATGCGAATTTTGGCGTAATTAGTTTGTAGTCGTGTCGTGTAACCAACGTATTCTTTTTGCAGTTCTTATATATTTTTAACTTTTTATTTGTACGCTACTTCGCTTCACTAAGCGTTTTAATTTGTTTTATGACTATTAAAATATCTTTTCTTCGTTCTCTACCTTTTATGTATACTATGTTAATGCTTTAGGATTTTTTTTCTCTAATTCTTTTTGCACAATAAAGACGACAATTTCACCCGAGAATTGATGTGTTTACGGCGAGCGCACGAATTCAAGTGAAGAACGAACTTCATAGATGTGAGAATCGAAGCTACAAATGCACAAACGAACGCAAAGCCGCAAAGCGTCGGCAGCGCAGCGGCAGCCAACGAGCACAACAAGCAGTGAAGTCGACAGTGACGCCAAAAATGCCGCTTTGCGCTTTTGTGTGTTGCCGGATTTTTCTATGACTTCGTTATTGTTTAGTATTCTGCATAGCGAAAACAACACTTTTTCTGGTTATGTGTGTATGTTTATATGAATTTAACTCTGCAGCCAGCGTCTAGTCAACGCTCTCTGCCTATACTCGCTGATCTTATTGCTGTTGGTGTTTTACCTTTTTCGAGTTTAAAATGGCGGACGCTGTGATGAGCGCAGCAACTGTGTCTGGAAATAGTTCACGCCGGTAATTCTGTAGAAACTATAAATACGGGTCAAATGCGGCCAGCTACACTCAAAACAGTACATACATACATACATATGTATTTAGAAGTGTACATCAATAGATACAGTCATATCTATTTGTGCATACATACTTACATTTTTGTTTAGGAGTTTATACGCTTAAATAATCATACAATTTTCAGCACAACACTGTAGCAGTGACTCCTGTTACTTTAAAAATTATGAGTTCACACTTTTAATCGCTCAAACACTTTTAAATTTAAAAATATTTTCTAAAGTGAAGACTTGCGTTGTTTCCGAAAATTTGCAGTGCACTTCAGAAAAAGGTCGGTAGACTGATAGTTGTTGTATTTATTTTCAACGCTCTCCACATGTAATGATGTATGCAAGTATATGTGTTTGATAGTGCTGCTGCTTGCTGTTGAAGCTTTCGACTTCCGTTTTACACGAAGGCAGGCTCTTCCGAATATGTATGCGCCTGCTATGTAAATGTATGTATTTATGTACATATGTAGAATTTTATACGCAATAGGATAGCTAAAGTCACGAAAAATCTATTATTATGGAAAAAATTTATTAATATTGACCCACCTTACATTTGGTGTCAAATGGTTTTCGATTTAAGTGTTGTCCATTTGTGTGAGAAGCAGCAGATTACTCGTTTGCTGCGTACGCTATTTCGGCAATGACGTCGACGTATGCGTCGGCGTTAAGAGAGCTATCCGACGTTGCGGCAGGTATGCATATAGAAAAAGGGAGTTTTGTGCAGCGCAAAAGCTTCCGCCCTACTTCACGCACGATAAAGTAAAGCGAAAGAATGGTCAAAAGAGAGGTCGTCAACCGCATTATAGTGAGCACAAACAGATACTATGTGCTGCTAGCATACACTTTCGGTAGTACTTACATGTTTACAGCGAGACATAACTTTTGGCCGCACACATCACGGATCGACGGTGGTCGCATGTTTGCATATAGCTAGCGGAAGTAGCAGCAGTGTGGTGGCAAGAAGTAAATATATGTTTATTAAATATATATTTGCATTACTATATCAATGCATAGTTGAAACTAGTGGGTAGACACCCCCTTAAGGGTTGGAAAGCCTTTTTTATTGTATACGTTTGGTTTACATCCGGCGCATGTGTCGGAGGCGGCGGCGGTGGCACAATGGCAGCAAATCCTTTGCCTAACATCGAGTAAGTGTACATATATACATACATATATTGTTTATACGTGTGCGTTTCAGTTTTACGCAACGCAATCACGTCGCAAAGGGTGGTTGAGCTACAATCAACATACATATGCACATACATACATACACAGCGAGCAAAATGGTGGAAAGTCATAATAGAAATAAGAAAAATTTGTTACATTTTGCAAAGAAAATTGTGTGCAAAGTGACAAAGGACCTGAATTAAATGTACGCGCATGCGCGCTTAGTTGCATAAAGGCAAAACATTGCGCAATTAATGCAATGCAATTAACACGATCAAAAGCGAGTGGCAATGTCGCTAACGACAATGGTAGTGTATAGTGAAACAGCTGCGACAAATTACCCAAACGCGGTGACGGAGCGACGCGTTGCCACTCGAGGCGTCGCACTGCGATCAGTTCAATTGATTCGCTTCGATGCGATTACCGGGCATGATTTATGGACGTATTATATACGAAAACACGTACAGCGGGAATCAAAGTAGCAACCACCACGCGCCAATCTCGCAAGCAAACACAAAATGCAAGTAAAAAATATGCATGTGTGTGTATGTGTGGCATACTGAACGCATCCGCTTCCGCACTAATGCAGCTGCTACATATAACATACATATGTATGTGTGTATGTATATGCTCATATTACGCTGAGTTTTATGATTTCTGTAGACAGAAAGGCGACGTCTCGCACCTACAACAACAATAACATTAATACAACAATCCAATTCAGACAGTGTTGTTGGTAAAACAAGTGCTCAGCCAATTTGTGTCACATGAAACGATTGAGGGTGTAATATAGTATAGGGGCTGCTTCAGACCACCCCAAGAATGCGTGCTAACACTAACTAATCGGGAACTTATTATAAGGCAACTACCGTTGGAAGTTCCCGTTCGTGCTACAGTTAGAGCAGCTAGCTTGGCTGGAATCTTGTTCGTATTATAAATTGGCAGCCTGCGATCGCGACAGTTGGAATGTAACTGTATAAGTTAGCTTGCCACTACAGCGACTTTGGCTTTTCAAGCAACACTAAAATACGTCAAAGTCTACCAACCAGACTACAGTGTCGGGCAAAAACGCCAAATTGAGAATAGTTGCGATCTCCAGCTATTAAAAGCGGCTAGCACTTTCTTTCTTTAAAAACAATAAGCTCATGTATTTGGTCGCACTTTATGCGTGTATACGTGCATGGCTACGAAAATTCACGAGTTTATAGTTTCTTGTAGTGTTTCCCACATTCATCGAGTTGTATACATACTTGAGACGCTGTGGCGTGGCAAATGTTGCAAGTAAAACAAAACGCTAGCTGCGCTTCGTCTGCCTTCAAACTTCGCACTAGCGCTTACCTTTTTACTGAGGGGAACACAACAAAAGACGGTAAACAGTAACTTGAGACGCTGTAGTGTAGGTCAGGAAAAAATCGACAATATGTATGAGTGCTGAGTGAGATACGCACAACGACAGAAAACTATGCCGGATGCGTGTTGACGATCGCATATGCTTATGAAAGTAGTAGTAATCGATCAAACTATTATTATCGCGTCCGGTTAGTCGATAGTATAGCTGCTATCAAACTCGCTTTGAAATTTAACAATTCTTCGCAGTATTTGGATTAGGCTATTTGCTAGCCAACGCGAACTTACGCTTGTTTTCGAAAGAATATTTAATTTTTGTACCTTGAATGGGGTATATTAAGTTTGACACAAAGTCTGTAACACGCAGAAGGAAACGTCGGAGTTGCTTTAAGGTAGCTGCTGCCTGTCTGTTCTTTCTATAGCGAACCAGATGCTCAGTTTTTGAAATATCGATCTGAAATTTTGCACACATCCTTTTCACTCCCAAAAAGCTGCTTATTTTTCGTAAACGCCGTTATCGCAGCACTATAGCATATAGCTGCCATGCAAACTGAGCGTTCGGAGTACAGTGCTTGTATGCAAAACTTTTTTATTTGACAAAATATCTTCACGAAATTTCGCACGGATTATTGTTCAAAATAGTGGTACTATCTCCGAAGAAATTGTTTAGATCGGATGACTATAGCATATAGCTGCCATACAAACTGATTGATTAAAATCAAGATAAAGAAAAGAGTATACATTTTTTGCTATAAGAAATGCATCTGTGCAGTGTATTGTATGTTTTACATATCTAAGTAGCTCGTTGGATGATGGGGTATGCACCGATAAAAGACAAACTTCATTTTTAGTACCATCAATTTGTCGGTGCAAAACACTTAGCTGTTGCCAACTCTTGCTGTTAGTTTTTCGCTGGTGATTGGTAGACATGATTTATAACTCAAAAATCTCGTAGAACTTAATACCTAGTTTTCAGCAGTTCAGATTTTAGCTGAATAAAGTGCTGAATGAAGCTGAAAGACAAAGCGCAATCGCCGGCTTGGTACGGCGTTGCACTCTGGCAACTTAAGCTATTTGAAATGAGTCATTAGATTTATTTTATTAATATTAAATATTAAAAAAAACAAAAGGGGTTTCGTCACAGCAGAGTAGAATTATAAGGAACATAACAAAGGATTTAAAGCAAAACAGCTGGAACCTAATTTTCAAAACACAACTGCTCATGCAAAAACTTATAATCTGTGAAAGAAATCCAAATGGCCAAACGCAGTCACTTCTAATCCACCCTTAACTTATGCAAATATGGCGAAAACCCATAAAAAAATTCACATAAAAAAGCAATTTATGCTGCTATGTTTACTTACACACACATGTCAGCAACAAAATATGTAAACCAAATCGACAAAACCTGAAAAGTCAGCCGATTGTGTAAGGCGCTTACAAGCCGGATGCCACTTAGAGCGGCAATACATACACATACACGCACACACACACACATATGTATGTATAGCAGTGCATGCAAAAGCACCCCGTTCGGCTGTTTACACGCTTCGTAGCCGAATAATGTATAGTGCTGAAGGATAATGAAAAATGCACTTACAACATCGCACGCGTGAATGCGCGCTCCTAAGGCAAGCGACAACTTGCAGGGTGGACGAAACTGGGCCGCGTCGCCGGCCAGTGCGTCGGCCTATACTGCTCTAATCACGTGTCACAAGCAGCGGCCAACTGCCAGCCAAGCCGCTGCTTCGCCGCATTGCTCGGTGCGCTGTGCTGGAAAATTAAGTACCCTCGAAGCGTTGCTCGACTTGCAAGCTTGCATGTAAATATGTGCATATCCTTTTACAATGCTGCCAGCCGTTTTTCTTGTAAATTTTTTTTTAATTTCACATTTTCCGTCTAAAATAAACATGCTCACATATCCTATATATGCTTGTATGTATGTATACACGTTTTAAACTAAGCGCTGTGGGGTGTTTTCAGCTTGCTGAGCTGATGTAAATGATTGGTTTTGGCCCCTTGGGCGTTGCCAAGCCGATCGCGTGTTGATCGTGGCATGTGTTTGTAAAGTTTACAACAAATGGCGTTTTTCGTAGCATTCGTACATGCTACGTTGTCTGTCAGCTGCATGGGTTCACAGCGGAAACCAAAGTATTCCAATTAATAATAATAATATATCACTGAGACCTTTTTTTGACTGAGCTACTCGTCGTTCATATAGGTATTAGCTGTCCTTCGAGTATTTGATGTTGCAGCAAGTTATGAGCGGAGAGTCAATGCTTTATCTAAAACTTCAGATCACAGGCTGCAATGCGATCGACAAGCGTATAATATTGGAAATACTAAATTAAGCCAGGACTCTATTCTTAGCACTCGAACTACGAACCGGTCAAAATGACTGGCTGCATCATTTATTTATACCATTTTCTCTTTATTCCTATTTAAATTTTACGATAATGTCATGATTGCTATAAAATTTTTGTATAGAATAATATTATAGATTATTTTGTTCTTACGCTTCTAATTTTCAGAGAGAGAGACCTATTTGAAACAGGTATATGGTAAATCTTCGTAGTTCTAGTGTTAGTATTATTTCGAGCTAAATTAACCTAGATGACAGCGTTACATAAAGTACACTTTGCATCCGATTAACTTCTCTCTGAGACTTGATGGTACAAGGCTTGAATTTAAATCTAAAACATAGAGATCTCATGAAAAGGGCTTTTATTTTTAAATGAACTTATATGTGCAAGCATCTAGAGAGATTGAGAGGGAGAAAGAAAGAGAGAGCGAGATAGAGAAAAAGAAAAGAGAGAGAGATAGTCCTTTTCAAACATATTCTTACATATTCATTGTACATATGTTGAGAGCAACCAGAGAGAGAGAGAGAAAATATAGAGAGAGAGAAAAAAAGATAGAGAGAAAGAGAGAGAAAGATATTCCACTTCAAACAGATTCTTATATATTCATTGTACATATATTGAGAGCAATACCTGTTAGGCGAAACTTTTTTAAATGTTAAGTCAAAATGGGGATCTAACCAAGTTCTACAAGACTATAATTACTTGGAGTAGTTAAAGTACACGACGCTATGAGCTGTATGATTAGTGAATCTTCAAGTGATTTACCTGGAAATTCTTAGATATTCTGAATCTTCAGCAGGTCTGAGATAAAGAAAAGCTGGAAAATTCGATTTCTAAGAGCCTGTGGCTATATCCACATATATTTCAATATGTACTTTATTGGTGTGTCCTATAAATATACATATCCATAGATATTATACTTGTGTGTCTTATTTCTAGTTGCTTTTATTCTATAACATTTTATTTACAGTTTGGCCGCTGATCAGCTCGTTTACATTGGTTTGAGGGACATTGACCCGTACGAGGCGTATATCCTGAATAAATTGGGCATACGAGCGTTCGCAATGGATGTAAGTATACATTACGTGCATGAGGCTATGCACGCATACTACATTAGCACAGTGGTGAATTTTGAGATTTTATAAATAAATAATTAAGGCATTACATACGCCATATGAACTAGCGAGAATTGATTATAGTAGCTTAGCAAGGTAAAAGTGGTGATTAGTGATGTATTTGTCAATATCCGAACTGAGCTGACATAACCACAAACACAAATGTAGTGAGTTTGATTAGGAAAATGAAGGTGTGCCGCTTAGAAATGCACATGAAGAACAATACAAGTACTAGAGAAGAAGCGCACCTAGCGCAATGAGATCAGACGTGGACTCTAGCCCAGTTTGAGAATGTTTCTGCTAGCGCTCGGTCCTTCGACAGACTAGGCCAAACCGCCGAAAATATATATAATCAGCCACTCATAGCGTAATTAGCCGAAATTTCGACACTTAGGAAAAAAATGGCAATCTTGGGATATAGTACGAGGCGCAATATCAAATAAGCATTAATGTCGGCTCCTACAAAGCCGGCGTTTGTCTGCCGGTCATAAGATCCAACTCAAAAATTCATACAAGCATGCAAGTAGCGAGATCGTTAGCGAGTGTGAAGAAGCGAGACAACGCGTCGTCGATTTTTTTTAGTGAAAACTGCTCTTTTGTAACACTGTGCGATAGGTTTTTGTCTGGTAACGAGCGGGTGGCACTGTCTGCACTGTCAGTCTGCGCTAACAATAGGGCATTTTCCGTGAGTCTTCGGCTTGCTACCGTAACTGTATGCACACATGTGTGTGTTGGCAAGTTTTATTTGTGTTGTCACAGAACTCGTTTGACAACGTTGTTACTTTCACTAGCGTTGGAACGCTGGCGCAACGGCGCTGACAACAGCAGGAGCAAGATCATTTTACTCTGAGCCCAACTGCATACACTGTAGCGATCATTGATATCCTTGCATGCGAGCGCATATGCATACACATATACACACACATACACAGTTAAGCGCAACTGTGTGACTTGCATTGATGCGAACGCGCTGCGGTGAGCAACCCCGAGTTCAATGCGGCGACTGTATTTTGTCCACACCTCGAATGTGGCGTGGCCGCAGCGGCAGCGGCAACGTGGCGGTGGTGGTTGTAATGCGCGCAGGGTATAGGGTGCTAAACGCGTACAAAGGGTGCGCCGTGTTTGCCGTCACATGCAGGGACATTAGTTTTTACAACGACGCGTCAAAAGGGGAATGAACCGGATCGGCGGCGCGGTGCATGTAGGCAAATTACAAAAAAAAGAAACGTAAATAATAAATAATTTTGTTGTTGTTGAACGTATATACATGCACACATACATATGTATGTATGCTTGCAATTCAGTACAGGCGATTTCCGCCTGCCGCACGTATAATCCGCATGCGCCGTGCTTTAGTGGGGTGTTGCACTTTCCGTAGCTATTTTAGTATTTTATTTATGAGACGTGAAAATCGGTGCGTTGAAAAATTTCAATAACTTTTCTTGTGGGAAAATGCTTGCCTTACGCACAATGGCAACTGCATACGTTTTGCATACACTGCAAAAAACGACTAATACAATAGCAAATGTGTGAGTAAAATAGTGCGGATTCAGCATAGTGAAAAAGCTCGAAGACTTTTGAGGCAGTTCGACGGCAAAGTAATAGATGTGAGGCACATAATTTTATTTTTCTTGATGTAGTTTAGAGCTATGAGGTGCGAATTGAAAGTGTATTTATCACGACCATTGATAGTGCGCGCATATTTCAATTATTAAGCTCGGCTCCAAACAGAAAGAGGACGCTTAGAAGATGAGAAAGAGAGAGACAAAGATGCGGTGTGTACAAAGGAAAAGGTGAATTATGAATTTTCGCGGGGTGTATACATTCGATTATCGATATTTTTTGTTTGTGTTATAAACGGACACATATGTATATGCAAGATATTGTTGAAAAAATAAGTACTTTTCAAGAAAAAAATTCAAAATTCACCTTTTTCCTTTGAACACACCCCGTATATATCCGTTCTTAAGGTAGTTTAGCGCTATGAGCTGAGAATTGTGAAATTTATACTGACCTCCTGTTTCAATTATTGTGCTCAGCTCCAAAGAAGAAAGAACCAATGACCAACTAGCCGATCAAACATCTTTTTTTACACAGCAATCGAGTTAGAATAATGTTCTTTATATCTTTATTTAGTAAAGGTGATTCCTGAGATGGTACACAGGATAACTTACTATTTCCAAGACTCTTCCCATAGGTTAAGGGCAGCTCTTTAAATTTACAAAACCCACAACCATGTGCAACTAAAACGCCATTGGAGCTCAGTTGAGCATACCAGATAGAGTAAAAATAAAAAATAGCTTTTATGATCGTGTTTATATAACTTAGGTGCGTTAAATCAAGACTGACTTGAACAAGTTTCTTTATAGCGACAGGTAGTATGCTACTTTACAGACCAAAGCGGTTTATTTCATAGCGAAATAACTAATTACTGCCGTTAAATAAAATGTTTAATATTTCTTAACTCAAAACTTTGTCTCACTTTTGTGTGTTTTTCTTTCCTCTTTTTTGTAGTCTGTGGACAAGTACGGCATCTCTAAAATCATCGAGCGTACGCTGGACTCACTGAAGCCACAAAATAAGATACATGTCAGTTTCGATATTGACGCCTTGGACAAAGCCGTAGCGCCCAGTACTGGTACAGCTGTTTGTGCCGGCCTAACATTACGCGAGGGCATATCGGTTGTAGAGGCGCTACGTGACACGAATCGCGTGCAAGGCATTGATTTGGTGGAATTAAATCCAAGCTTAGGCAATGAGCAAGATGTCAACACCACAATTGCATCGAGTTTGGAAATATTGAAAAGCATATGCGGTTACAAGCGCAGCGGCAATTTCGCCAACATAAAGACGGATCTATTCGAGACGCTGAAAAATTAATATACTCACATATGGACGAGTACGTTTTAACTAATTTTTTACTAAGTACATGCACAGTATATACATATATGTATTAATACATACATACATACGTGCATACGTTATATACTTAAGCAATAGGTGGAAATTCAAGTGTCTTATGACATGTACATACATAGACTTATATAATGATGAGTTGTTGGTTTTAAATTGTATATTTATTAGCTGTGAGCCACATTGTAATGCCAAATAAAAAATAGTAGCTTATTCTTACAAAGAACATATGAAAGATGTTTTGCTTAAAAATTATTTGTGACTTTAAACACTGCGAACGCAGTGTAAAAAATCTTTTACGATGAACCTATGCAAATCGGCTACTTGGATGTTGGCTGCTCAGCAACGGCTATTGGGACAATCGTTGGAATGCTAGTTGTTGTAGTTGTGGCATTTAGTAGGCTTATGCTGTCAGACATGCTATTCGCCGTATTTATAAGATTATTCGACAATACTTTAGTCGTGGGCGCTGCGGAGCTAGCGCTTGCGAGATTCATATTCACAGCACCAGCTCCAACAGCGACATGTGCGCCACACTCGCGGTTAGCACTAGCGTGTTGCTGACTTAGTGTTTGCTGTAAGAGTTGCGGTGCAAATATATTGATGGTAAGGCGCTGCATAGAGACCAACATAGAATTTAAAATGCCTGCAATGAAATGCATAATAGTTTTATTAAGTGTCTTGTGTGTGTAGTGTTAGTAGTTGCGCATTTGCCTGAGATAACGATGATGCCAGCTATGATGGAACATAGTCGTATTATGAACTGCACGAGATTATCGCGATCGGTGCGTACAATGATCTTCAATGCCGACCAGTCGTATTTGAAATAGATGCCAGGCGAGCCGTACGAATTTTTGGTCGAGTCTAAATAAGCGGAATATAGTTATTTCAGAAAATATATGTACATATGTAGCATATATGCAAATAAAATATTACAAAATTTATACACACCCAATTGACGCACATTCTCTGACACTGAATATTGATACGTATTGATTGTTGTGAATGTATTGTGTATTTCGGTGGGTACGATTTTCAAAAAGTATTGTACCGTTGTTTCTTCATCGGCTACTAGCGTTTCGTCGCCTTCAAGCGGTTGTACGATGCGCCGTGAATATTGACCAAAACTTAAACGATTGATGCGATGCGTGAAATTAGCTGGCGTACGTCGAAAATCGATTGTCCAGTGATCGCCAAAGAGCCCAACAAATGGCTGCGCACCACCAACCAAGTGCAGAACTCCAGCGACCTGGATGTTTAAATTCATTTCATAAAATAATTACACGGTTGTAGGATAAAAATATTTATTCTAAAATATATATTTTCAAAATTACTGTTGATAAGATGTTAAACTTCTCTATGAGCGCATTTCTACCTCTACACTGCACCTTTTTAGTACTTACATAACTACGCATGTCAAAGTTTCCATACTTGCTTATCTTTTAAAAGTACATATTCAATTTACATAATTTTCGTACAATAATATTTATTTATATATAAAAATAATTTATTATTTACATACAGAAAATTACGATTTAAAAGCGAATTTACATTCGTTATATAAAATATAATAATTATAATTATATAAAAGAAAATATATTAAATTTTATTTATCATGCTTTATAATTTCGGGTTTTCAAATAGCGGCCCTCTTGATATCTCTATGTCCGCGTATGGCTGCGTTTGTTCAATGTTGAGTGCGCGGAACTTTTTCAGCACCAATAGCGAGTAAAACTTTTGTGCCGCCTGTTTCCTGGTGTTATTCACGGTTAATGCAGACAATATTAGGCAATCTTGTTTTATTAAACGAGATTTAACGGTATAGAATAATTGTGCTGCTCGCTTATTGAGTACGCGTTCCTCAAATTGTTCATCTGTTTCGTTTTCCAATTGCTCTTCAGCAGGATTCGGCGGTGGTGGCGGTAAGTCGTAATCATTCCAATCTGTAGATATATCGCTAGTGCGTTGCGCCTTGCTTGCTAGTAAATCTGTTTGGATATTTGGTATATTCTCAGCTTCTTGCAATATAGATGACACTTGATCGGCTGGTAGATTGGGTAAATTATCGATATGTTCAATACTGGAATGATGCGGAGTTTGGTCTCCATGATGTAGACCTGCGGGCGTCACGTCGCCATGATTGAAATCATCGGATGCGTCGATGCCGTGATGCATGTTACTTGGCGTCAGAGGTAAATCATTGAGTGTTGTTAAATTATCAATACCATTGATTTCATTCATGCTTAGCATACGACTGGGACTGCGCATATTGTCAAACAACGAGCTCTCCGCCGGTGGCAATAAATTGTCGGCCAACGAATATTGTGCTTGACCAACACTTTGTTCGAGGTCGCGTACCGGTTCTGGTGCCGCCAGACTTTGTGCCGTCACATCCGCTGTGTTTTGCTGTACTGGTTGGAGCTCATGCTTTCGTTTACGACCACGCTTATTATTTATAACATTTGCATCATTTTCATTCTGTATATGCTCTATAGCCAACAAATCCGACGGGCCAAGTATAGAAAAGTCTTCGAGTACTGAACAACGTGACACTAAATGACGTTGATAATTTAAAAACAATGCTCTGGCCGGTATAGTTCTAGAAGGTAGTGAAAATAATTTTTCCACACCACCAGTTTCCTTCCAATAAGTTAATCGTTTTGTTGGCGGTGCCAAATCTAATGTGGTTACAATGTCCGTTGTGTTTGCCAATTGAGCCTTCATTTCCTCGCCAGATATATTTTTGACTTCATCAACAATTAGCTTACGCTTGCGTTTAGCTTTGGTGACACCTTTGTATGCTGAGGCATCTATAGGTGCCAAGGCAAAGCTTTCATCTTCATTCTGCAGTAATGTTGACTGGTCCAAAGGATTTTCATCTTCCTTTGAATTGCCTAAAGCTTCATTACCCTCATCTTTGTGAGCTTCTTTTTCTACTTCATTTGTCTCGGATGCATGTTCACAACTGGATGCTACAGATGGTGGTCTAATATCCATATGATCCATGCCGTCGTCATCAGATTCTTGTGCCGCACCAATGGCAGCTTTCAAATTATTGTCACTGGTATCTAATGGCGGTTCAGCAAAAAGATCGTCTTCAAACAGTTCAGGCTGTCCAAATTCATCCCCAAAACCATCTCCATCTAATCGTGAATTTGCCAAATCTGTATCGTTTAGTGTTATTTTTGGTTCATCTACCAATGTAACGTCCGCCATGCCACCATCACCAAATAGTTGATCATCGATATTGGCATCTATTGGACCACGTATTAAGTCAGGAGTATCACCTTCAAATCCCATATCACCAAAACCATCATCATGAATTGAAAGTGACAAGCTACCGCCATAATCCTCTCGCATAGTAATCTCATCTGCTCTAGATTGGTTTATCGCAAATTGTGCCTCAATGTCAATATCGTTCAACTCGGGCAAGGCTGTATCGAAATCATGAAATACTTCTGGCAGAGTGATTGCATTTACATTTGCTTCCCTATGTCCTTCAGGAAGATCAACCATGCCAGGCCTAAAAGCCATTTTGATCTTAACAAATGCTTCATTGCAATCCGCCAATAAATATTTTGCTTTCCGCGAATAAATCCTAACGACGCCCAACAATAGATGCCCTGAAGTGCGAAGCGCCAATTTTACTTTTGGTTGCATTATACCTTCCACGGATTTCTCAATATTAGTTTCGAATACATGCGCCTTTGTTATTTTCTTATCCCAGTGAGCAGCCAACCATACTCGGGCCAATGGGCCTTTTTTGGCCAAAATTAAATGTGCATAAAACATATTTTTTATAAATTTATATTAGCTACGCCACTATTAACCAAACATTTCTTTACAGCTTTCTTTTTAGCATTGGACTGTAAGAGTTGCCACCCTATACAAATATCTTTTTTATTTTGATGTGTATACGTTGTTGCCAATAAATTATTGAGTTGGAATACATAATTTCGGTTTTTATTTATTTTTTATTCTATAATGCCGCTTTCGTGCAATATATACCATTATTTTGTGTCAATCTTCGTGAAATTGTTCAACAGCTAAATAAGTTACTAATATTTTAATATCGTCTCCGTATTTATTGGCACCATTTCGAATTCCCAATTACGGGAACTCGGAACAGAATTGCCATTTTCCATTTTATATGAACGAAAAGAAAACAAACTTATTTTACACATTGAATATTTTGTATAGCAAAAATTATATAAATTTTTTTAATTTTTCTCAATAACATTCAACCGAATTTATGAATTTTGACTTTCATTAAATTATTAAAACAACTTTCATACGTGTAGAGGTATATACATAAAACATGTTCTAGTCATTCAAATGTATAGTGCATACGTTGTAGAATAGTATACCAACTATGTTTACATAAATAATACAACAGCGAGTAATATCAACTACGCCTGCAAAATAGCTAACTTGTTTGCTATTGTAGTATCAATATTTTCCCATATTCATGTTTTTTGAAATAAATCGAAAGCAATTACCTTATTAATACCCAATGTTCCGTGTAAACGGCATGCATCATATTGCTCCTCCGGAAGTTTCTTCAAGTTTCCTATTGGTTTCACATTCACTTCATTATTCTTAATAATATCTTTAAAAAGAATATCCGCAACAGAGTGATATTCTTCTCGCAAAAATGTATTCATATGCTGCATGCGTTCGAATTGGAGACGCTCCTCTTCAGGTAAAACCCACCAAGTACCTTCCCGTTGTAATGTACCATACGCGAATACATCCTGTTGTGTCTCATCCATTAGGTCAACGCCAGAAAGGGCTACACATTATAAATCAGTATTACTAATCGATCGTTTTATGTTACATTGTCATATTTACTTACAGGAGCATGGCATGGCTATGGTGATATCGACATGCATTTGTACTTTATCATCCATGTCGATGTCAGGTTCAAATTGATAAATGAGATCAGCTTCTTTGTAATAGCATACCTCCTTGTAAATGAGGTAAATAATGAGCAAACGACTTAACAAAGATACTGAAGACGAGATAGGATCAAATATTATAGCGCTTCACTTATTTTAGTGCATACATGAATATGTTTGTTTTTAACTTACATGTACCCCCTATTTCTGTTGTTTCTGTATATTTTTCCGGCACTTTCTTGAACGCATCCAAATTTTTTGCCAATTCAATAAGATTGTTTTTATCACCACGATAACGCAAAGTTGCTGTCATATTCGAACACCATTTAACTAATTTATAGCAATATTAACAAATTTTATGAATATATTGACGATGTGTCCAAACAGCTTCGAAACAGCTGTAATATGAAAACAATCGATAGTTGGTAACGCTATGTAGAGAGTGTTGCCATAAATTCAAATATTTTTCCAGAGAATGTAGTTTTTTTTTATATTTTACATTCTCTGATTTTTCTGTTTCTACAAGTTGAGTGGGCAGCACTGCCAAGCACGGATGGCAGAGAACGTAAAATGATATACGTTCTCTGCGTATGGACACCATTTTGATACACCAAACGACGTATTTCGCCATAAAAATTTTGTGACAGCGGCCTTTGTTAATGAGACCAGAAATTTGGACGATTATAAACGTTTTTATAGAATATATTGTGTATAAATAAATAAATTAACATTTAAAATATATTCATGGCTGCCAATTGGATAAAAATTACTGAGAGGTGATTATCAATGAATATAGTTTTTAAAATTTATAAAATTGTACAATTTTACTTTGAGTTTTAAGACATTTTTCGTAAGGATGTAAAACTAAAATATTTATATATCTATTGAAATCCGGGTGTATAAAAACGTTTTTTTACTTTGTAGAGCACGAGAGGGTATAAAAATTATAAATGCGCTACCTTATGATACTTTTACAACAGTGCTAAGTTTTGTTCATCGGCAAATGATACCGGCGACAACTGAGGATGTTATAGAGCCAGAAAATGCTTTGGAAGAATTGGAACGTTTAGTTGGTGTACCACGTGCCGATTTTCTTCTAATGATTAAAACTTTTTCCTACATTTTACGACGCACGTCTACATTTGTCATCAAACCAACTCGATTGCACGCTGAATTACGAGAAAAGCTGCAGCTTCAAGATGATGCGAAAATTGATGCAATTGTTAGGTTATGGGTCCGCCAAACGACTCCAATAATGAATAGTTTGGCGTGTGAGCGTTATGAATCAAATGAGATACAAGATGTGGCGTGGAAATTAAATGTGGAAATCTCATCGCATTGTGAGCAACGTGAGAAAAATGCTTTGGCCATGTTGCAATTAAAAACTGGAACAGGGGAAGACATCAATTTAGAGATGAACCATGAAGAGTTGCTGCAATTATATAATCAGTTCGAGTGTATTCAAAACGAATTAGATGCCTTAAAACATCAACAGGCGGAGCAAAAGGCTTAGAAATTTGATAGAAGGTGGAAACTCGTAAATTTGTGAGTAAGCTCAATTTATGTGTAGTAACATTAGTATTATTAAAATTAAGCTATATTTAGTTTAAAAAAATTTTGTAAAACGTTGAAGGAAAACTAATTTCAGTGCAAGGAATATACGTATTGGTAGTAAAATATTAGTCAGTTTTAAAGTAAACATTTTTACGTGCAAAAGTTGCAATCTTGTAGTAAACCCAGAAACAGGGAAAACATATGTTTGAAAAAGATATCTCTTGGTAATTCCCGACTTTCAAATTGAAACGAATTACATTTGCAAATGTGCAAATCAAATGATGTATAATGTTCTATTGAATCGCGAACAGAGCTGGAAAACACCGGTACCGATTCATATCAAAGGTGAGAAATGTTGAATTCCATAAAAAAAATCTAAATATTTTAAGAATTAAAAGTTACAGTGCATTGTTAGTTTCTACAAAGAAAATGTAGTTGTTAATGGTTTCCAATAGAGCACAGACCACTTCACATATGTATACGCGAATGTTTTTGGCACTGTAGTACGCAGAAAAAAGACCGTACTGTACCAACTGCGCCCCGCATCATTGCCGCTCAGCACTGATATTCTTCATCTTCGAAATTCGGTTTTGAGGTCACATCAAACGAACCGGGTAATATCACATGATTTGATCCACACATCACGAAATGGGTAGCAGGCCTAGCTAGCAGCGTTTCTTATATAGGCGAGCAAACCAATCCTTATTTAGGGTCACATCACACGAACCGGGTAATATCACATGATTTCATCCACACATCACGAAATGGGTAGCAGGCCTAGCTAGCAGCGTTTCTTACATAGGCGAGCAAACCAATCCTTATTTAGGGTCACATCACACGAACCGGGTCTTATCACATGATTTGATCCACACATCACGAAATGGGTAGCAGGCCTAGCTAGCAGCGTTTCTTATATAGGCGAACAAACCAATCCTTATTTAGGGTCACATCACACGAACCGGGGAATATCACATGATTTGATCCACACATCACGAAATGGATAGCAGGCCTAGCTAGCAGCGTTTCTTATATAGGAAACCAATCCTTATTTAGGGTCACATCACACGAACCGGGTCTTATCACATGATCTGATCA